CAATAACATCTTTGTCAGTAAGTAAAATTTATTTGGCGATGAAATTAACTTCGCTTTCGTGTTCGACACTTTCCTCTATCTCAGGAACAGCATCGTTTTTTTCTGTAACAAAACTTGAATTGTTTTGCTCTTTAATTATTGGTTCCGTAGCATTTTTAATACACTGTGCCTCGTTATCAACTGTGACGGTTTTTCAGACTGAAAAAATGTTTTAATCGATTTTGTTCCTATACTACCGATCGTGCGTAAACGCTTCATATAATTATTGCTATTCCGTGAGCCACCTACTCCACTTAAATTCCTTCCTTGCTTCATTATAAATATTCATAAATCTTGTTACAAAATACAAACAGAACACATTTTACGCTAAATCATAACAAAAACACTTGTCGTCTGGGAAAATGAGTTGAGTTGTTTACGCGCTAGCTCAATTTAGTGGGTTGCCTAGTATAAAAACTTCGCCGCTCACTCCGATTGAATAGCGTACTTAGGAGAAGTGACGTCAACATATCAAGCCTGTTTTCGAGCTAGTGAGTTTGCGTGGAAGGTCGCCCGACGCTGAACTTCGCCGTACGATACGGGGTTCACAGTGAATCCACTTTTCAGTGAACTGCTCAGAAAACTATTCAGTACTTTAATTCCTTTGAACTTTTTTTTATTTTAGTGAAGATGCGTTTTTTTTTTCGAAGTTTGTTGAAATACTGATTTATTTACTTTTAAATTCTGTGAAGGTACAGATTTTTTTTTTTTAATTTTGTGAAGGTACCGAAAAATGGTACCAAAATCGACCTGGATTAAGCACCGGGGAAAATAGAAATAGTATTCCTTAAAATGAATAATTGGCACTTAATTCACATGCTTATTATCTTTGCTGTGTCCAGTTCCTTTCCTGTTAAGTGATAATTAGCTTGAAAATTTCCTGTCAAGCATTTGAAACACAATTATCATTGATTGCTGACTCCCGGGACCAAAATGTGTTTTATGTAAAGCAATATTTTACGTTAAGGGATTTCATGTTAATGAGGTTCAACTGTATTACATTTAAGAGAAACAATTCTTTCCTGACTTTGTGAAAGAAATTGAATAAGGTTGTGCAATAGGACATTCTAAAAAAGTTTTTTCTGCTAAGAGATTGCTTATAATTTAATTATTAACCTATGTGGTTCTTTTTTATAAAAAGTTAAACTACTTATATAACAAGCATACACAGTGGTGGCCAAAAGTGTGGGCATTTTTTTAAAGTTTCATGTTTTTCAACTTTGTGTGCGTGTAGAATATATTAATTTTTACTAAAATATAAACATTTATACATTAAATTGAAGGTAATTTAATGTAGAATTTAATAATAAATACTGTATTACAATATCTGTATTACAAAAAAAGTTATGCAACTAATAGTAAGATCTATCTCAGATTTGCATTTTTTTAAAGTGATACTTACACAATCAATACTTCGTAGGATAACCCTTATTTTTTAAGACAGCTTCACAGCGTCTTTTCATTGAGTGAACGAGTGTTTGGAGTTCATCTTTTGCAATCACATGATACCAAGAATCAATTATAGCTTTAATAAGTCGTCTTTTATTGGATGGAAGTTTTTTTCGTACAAGAATTTTCAAACGTCACCACAAATTTTCTATTGGATTGAGATCAGGGCTGTTTCTTGGCCTTGGTAATATATCTATGCCTTTATTTTGATACCATGCTTTGTATACTTTTGCTGTGTGGCATGGAGCTGAATCCTGCTGAAAAATAAATGGTGCATTGTTGGGGAAGATATCCCTGATGGAAGGTATCAATTTTGGTTTCAGGACAGTTTCGATGCATTTTTTGGCATTCAGGATGCCATCAATCACTTGAATTCGGCCCACACCATCTGCAGACATACATGCCCAAATCATGACATTTGTTGGGTTTTTTGTAGTTGCTTCAATGCAATCAGGATGAAGTGCTTCACCTACTCTATGTCTTACGTATTTTCTACCATCACTATCAAAGAGCGATATTTTACTCTCATCGCTCCAGATTACTTGCTTCCATTAATTTTCTGACCATTTAATGTGTTCTTTTGCCCACTTTTTTTCGAGTTGCTTTTGATTTACATATGGTTTTTTCCTTGGAATTCTAGCTTGTAGTCTAAATCCTGATAACATTCTTTGTATTGCTCTTGAACTTACTGCAATACCCGCTGCATTCATTTCACATGTAATGGCATCTGATGAAATTTTCCTATCTTGAAGGCATAGTCGTTTAATTTTTCTATCAGCAGTAGCACTTGTGCATTTTTTTTGGCCTGATTTGGCTTCATTATCCACTGATTTCGTTTTTTCATAACGTATACAGAACTTTCGTACACCAGAACAAGTCACTGAACCACCAACTTGTCTTACAATTTCAGCATAAAAGAGGCCATTTTCTCTCATTATGACAATTCGGCTTCTTTTCGTAGATGTCCAAGTAGTTCTTTAACATTGTTTAAAATTAGTTTAATTTAAAAAAAAAGGACTTTAAATATTCAAAAACAGCAATACTCTATTTAATTGTACTAGTATGCATCAATCCGCAAAATATTTCCACAACAATAACTCTTTTACCATCCAAATAACCTAAACTATAGTTACAGACATTTGATTGGTCCTAAGAACAGTGTTTGTGATTGGCTTGTACGCTTTTATTACAAAACACGTCTTTATTCAAAACGATTTGTGTTTGTTTGTTCTACTAAAATGAGCATAACTTTTTTTGTAATACAGATATTTTAATTCTGCTTTTGCTATTAAATTCTACATTAAATTACCTTCAATTTGATATATAAACGTTTGTATTTAAGTGAAAATTAATATATTCAACAAGCACATAAAGTTGAAAAACATGAAACTTTCAAAAACTGTCCACACTTTTGGCCAACACTGTATGTATGTGTGTAGGTTGAGTAACTCCAAGCATTGTTAATATGAAATTATAAAAGTTATTAGTTGAAAATGCAATTACTATTTTATTACCAGAACAGGCAACATATCGTTAAAAACAGGATCAACACAATACTCTCTTTAAAGGAAGCACTTTTTTTAAAAAAACATTACAATACTAACATAGTTTTAAAAAAATGTGGAATAAGCACAAATAAAGTCACATGATCAGAAATGCAATTGTTTTGTTACCATAAAACGCCAGTTTCTTCAGTGTTAAAACACAGGCAAGTGAAATTTTCAAATATATTTACTCCAAGTCAAATTTACTCTGTTTTCAATGTAACTTGTTTGTAGTTTTTTTTGCATTCCAGGGATGAGAGTAGTCAGAAAGTAAAAAAGAGGAAATCCAAAAAACAAAAAAGAAGAAGAAAAAAAAAGAAAAAAAAAAAAATATATATATATATATATATATAAACAAAAATTTGACAAAAAAGTGCGATTTTTAAACTTGTAAACCATGTGAATATAAATCCCGATATGAGACTTTTAAATCACGTAAATATGAAACTCTACATCGAATTTAAAAAATGCGAAAATACAAATCATGATTTTTTAATTTTTTGATCACGATGCATAATTTTTAAATCGCGCGATATTACAACCACAAAAACGAATCACGATATTGGATTTTAAGCTCACGTGAATACGAATTGCTACATAGGGCTTTAAAAGCTCGTAAATACAAATCGCGATATTGATTTTTTAAATCTCGTAAGTAAGAATCGCACTGTACAATATTTAAATCGCCTGAATAAGAATCGCAACGTTCAACTTTTAAATCAGGTAAATACGAAAATCGAGATTTGATAATAAAATCGAGATTTTAAAAATGCATAAATACAAAACACGATATTGGATTTTTAAATGTCGTAAATAAGAATCATAATATACGATATTTAAATAGCGTAAATAAGAATCGCAATGTGCAACTTTTAAATCAGGTAAATACGAAAATCGATGATTGATATTAAAATCGCGTGAATAAAAATCGAGATCTGAATTACGAAAATACGAGCTATCCAGCCGACGGATAAAAAATACGGAAAATCTTATTTTCTGTGCGTGAAATCGGAGAAAATAGCTAAAATAAGTAAAAATGCGGAAGGGTTAGCAGCTAGGGCGTAGATTGAATTTTCTGTTTATCTTTGAAAATCGTAAATAAATATAATTATTTTACTTCAATGACTGAATTTAAAAAAAAAAACAGGATATTTATTTAAAAAAACGAAACTTTTAGAGAATAGGAGTTTTTGATAAAAAGGCTGAAATTCGAGAGACAAAAAAAATCTCATCCCTGTATAAAGGTCAACCAGTTTTATCCCAAGGAAATGATTTTTAGAGAAACTTCAGACAGAGGAAAAGGGACTTCAACAATTTCCCTCCGCGAAAAATTAAATTCCTCATCAAACATTTTAACTTGGGCAAAAAAAATTTCAGCGGAAATTAGCGGGAAAAATCTGAAAAAAAGCGGAAATCCGCGGAAGAATCTCATCCCTGGCATTCTCTCATTCATTGTATGTTTCAAAACAGAAGAAGGAGCTTCATTAAAATATAAAAACATAGCGTTTTATGGGACATATTGTATGGCTCTTTCTACATTCTTTCAAATTTATTCATATGAACCACAAAATTAACATCACTTTATTTGGATATTCTAATTGTATTTCAATAATCCAAATGGAGTCAAAATATTTGGAATTAGAAAAAAGAAATCTATAAAAAAAATATTTTTTATTAGAATTAAAAGCAATGTTGAAGAATATGAACAAATCCTTTTACAAAAAAAAATTAAATTAACGAGCAAGAATGATCTCTAGATACTAGACAATGGAAAAGAGTAACATTAAAAGAGTGCATGAACCTTTAGTCACATACTAATAAGCATATTATTTATTTACAAAAATTTTAGAAGTTGACATAAAAAAAATTTTTAGAATCATTATTTTTTACTAAAAAAAAAAAATACCTGCGGTACATTTTTTAACAGAATAAACTTTTCTTAAATTTGCAAAAATGTTCATTACTTACCCACTCTGGAATGAAGAGAGCCATTACACTCTCTGTCATTGAGACGTAATATGCCTCGTCCTCTTTCCAACCAGTTCATTCCAATTTTGTCAAATGCAAACAATTTGCAGTTTATCTATAACAAATTCATACTAAGTGAATGAAGAGAGAAAAAATATTTTCTTAAACTTCAAACAATTAAAGGAACTCTTTAAATCATTTTATTTACAACTAAATATTCAAAAGAATCTGAATCTCGTCTATATTACATAAACATGCAGTTCAAGAGCAGAACTATATAATGTATCATTCATCAAATTTCAATTTTAAACTCTAACAATATGTTTTAATGCCATTTGTGAACAAAATAACAATTATATGTGTGCTTATTTTGATGAAAAAATTTATATAAATATTTAATCTGTTGGTTATAAATGCTTTCATTTTAACCAAAATATTTGATGTCAAATTGTCATAAACTGTTGCAATTTCAAGAATCCATTCGTCCCCTTCTAAGTGTCATATCAATCATGTGTTGACCAACCCAGAGAAAATACTAAAAATGAATACATTTGTTTATAATGATTTTGCATATTTGTGACATGTAAATTCAATAAATTTTTAGCAACTTTCCAAATACCTTGCCAAACCAAAAAAAGAAAAGAAAAAAAGATTACAATGATATGTACAAGTTTATTTTAGATCAAATACTGAGTTTATTACTAACCCCTTAATTACAAAATTAAGAGAAAAATTTAATTTCATTTAAACTATAGATCTACACAGAGAAATAATTCTTTCATCATAAAACTTATTCATTTCTCTGTTTCAGTAAATGGTATCATTAGAAGCATGTTAAAACTTCCTTATTTCAGATTATCTTTTTAAATATTAAGCATTAAAATAAATTTTTCTTGAATTTTAAATAGCTATAAAACAAAAGGCGTTTAATAAAAATGGAATGTTTAACCGCTTACCTGCAAGACGTTAGATTCTTCCTCTTCCCCTGTAATAACAGCTACTTCTTCAAATTTCCTCTTGACTTGTTTCGATTCATATTCCTTAGCAGATTCTGATAAACTTTTTAATTTCTCTAAATTAGAAAAAGTATTTATTATAAACTATAAATTAAATTATAAGTACACATAATAAATGAAAAACATTTTTTAATTACATCTATGACCTAGATAACTTTGATACACACTGAACAATCCAAAAAAATATCTTTTAATCAAATTTTATATAGCATTATTCTGTTTAGACATTTTCAAAATATATAAATGTATCATTTAAAATGAAAAGCAAACCTTCTTGGTTTTGTTGTTCCATTTTTTCTAACTCTTCTTTTTTCAATGCAGCTTCTTCAAAAGTAATGTTGTGGGCATCAGAAGGAGAAGCAGGAGATTCTAAAACTGCCTCATAATTCTAAAATATATATATACATTAATATTTCAGATAATGACTCTATAAAATAATCAGTAGAATTGGGAAACCTGCACTGGTGTGATTTAAAAGCGAAAATAAGTTTGAATCTACATAAAGCAAATGTATCAGATAAAACTTGATGGAACATTTTACAACAAAAATTCCATAATCTTCATAGGCAGGCTTCATAGTGAGTTAATGAAAAAATAGGATAAAAGCGGGATATTATTTGGAAAAGAAGACACAAAATAGAGTACTTTTAAAAATGACAAACTAAAAAAAAAGTATAATTTGATCTACCTAAAGAATAATAAAACAGGCAACTTTTAATTTCAGAATGAATTTAACACTGAACAACTCATAATAGTTTGAGATCAATATACGTGTAAAAAAATTTATAACAGGAATGCATTAAAAAAAAAAAAAAAGCTAGTATCGATTAGACGATATTCTCTCGTGTCATAATTGATCAAAATTCTTAATAAAGCTTAAGACTTCCGAACTTTCGAGGCTTTAGACAAACCCAAAACAATGCCGCTTAATATTGATATTCAAAAGTAATTTAGTGGGCGAACTCAACATTTGAAAATTCTATAACATGTTTACTGCATTGTTGATTGGAATCTTTAAAATTGGATGAATGAGATTAACCAATTACTGTAAAAGTATTAAACTGTAAGATTTACTACAACAGTTGCTGAATATGACCCTTGAACTCATCACTTCAAAAGTTTGATAACATAAAGTTTATTTTTTCATAAAATTACTGAATTTTAAAACATATGGCTATTTGATGGAATAATTAGTGGATGGTCCCAAAGTTTGAATTACTGAATTTTGAGATTTTAACTAGCATTAATAATTAAAATAAGAATGCTTGGGGGACTAAAAACAGGAAGTTCCACATTTGGTTGACCCCCAATTGGAACATCTGCTCCTGCACCTCAAAGCCTAAGGTTAAAGTCAAGGAAATTGAGAAGGGCTCCATAGACTTTGACCTTCCATAAGCTGTCCTGCCATTGAGTTTAGTTCAAGAATTAAAAATTCAAATCTTTTTATTCTTCAAATCAATTAGTCGAAACCGTGGTGGTTCGAGTGATAGAGCGCTCGTTTCCTAATGAGGTGACCCGGGTTCGAAATCCAGTGATGGCTGGTCGATACGAATTTTGCACGACCTCTGTACAGATGTAAAATATCCTCACGGATCACAAGTTTGAGTCCCTTCGCTGTCGGGCTAACCTTTGGAGGATTTCCTAGCTTTTCTCCTCATGTAACACAAATGTGGGTAAGTTTCATCAAAAAGAAATCCACAACGATGACCAATTTCTCCCCCAATACTTGCTCCAGGAGTTACCTTGTCTTCTTGATTGGGATCAAAATTACAAGGCAACAGAGTTGAACATTAGTAGTCTGTTGTCAGTCAAAATTGGGTTGACTGTTCAACAACATGCTTATAAAATAAAAATCAATGATCCCCGTTTGTATTTAATGAAAATGGAATGTTCTTCAGATACACAAAAATCAGGAAAATTAGAATAAAAAACGGAAGAAATATTTTTCATCAGGACAGCTATGAACCCTGCAAATGACACACCAGCAAAGTTCGAAGAGCATTCTTTAAGAGTTCGTGTTAATTCAGCTACAATATATATATATATATATAATATATATATATATATGCCTGTTCATGGATTTTGTAGAGTTAAATTGTATTGCAAACCCTAGAAACTAGCTTAAATGAGTTTGATTTTTTGGAGCAATTATGTTTAATAATTTTACAATCAACATGCTGATCAGTTTTGCTGAATCCTTTATTAATTGAAAAACTTTATGCTGAAATCTATGACATTAATTTTAAACAAATCTAAATTTTCCTGAAAAAATTCATAAAAAATATTAATTTTTGACATTAATAATGAAAAAATGGGGAGACAAAAGGAACAAAATTGTTAAATAAAGACCATTAAGAAAAAGTGACCTAATGGCAGCCCTAACTCACCAATTTAACTTGAAATTTACTTTTGATCAGCAAATTTATTTTAAGGATTTCGACATTTAAGCATGCACAAATTATGAACTAGATTAATAACAAAAGTATAAAACAAAGTAAGCCATACACACCAACACTCTTTCATGAAGATTCTGCCCAAATATAAAACCACCATTAGAAGTTGACCTACAAAAATATTAAAAAAATTTTAAGTTAATGTTATCTGAAGTTTTTAAAATAAACTCAATTAAGCAAAAAAATTATAACTAGTCACATAATCGTATCCACTCTGACACAATTATGTAAATGCATGTTGGCAAACTTTTCAAGTTCTTTAGCCAATCTGAAGAAAATATTACAATAATTCTGTGTTATCATTCATTCCATTTGAATTGCTATTATTAACTAAGTAAAATATCTTTCGGGGATTAAAATAATTATATTTGCTGATAACTATTTTCAAAGACAGAATAAGAAAAAAGGGATTTTTATACCTTAAAATTCAAAAATCAGAATGTGTGGAGGGCTGTGTTTTGAAGTACAATGCATGAAGAAAAAAAAAGTTTATTTTTACTATTTTTTCGTACTAATAATTTAATCTTCATACTTTAGAATTCAATCTTAAAGTTTAGAGAGGGGGAACATTTGACCAATTTTGCACAAATTTTGTATTTTGCTATTTAAAGTTGCATTTTTAAAAATGATGCAAAAAATTTTACACCTTTATAATTCAAACTTTTCCTCAACTACTATTTAAAAAAAAATGATACAAAATAATAAGTATTAACTATAAGTTGCTTGCATGGAATTATTTTTGGATAAACGAATTTATAATTGTGCGTAAAAAATTTTCAATTTGCTTCTCCAGATATAGTGAAATACACAAAAGTAAAATTAACATTAAGGCCGTTCGCTCGC